GTTATATTCCAGAGGTTTTCAAAATGCCTCATTTTCCAGACACCAAAAAACATGAACTTGCTTCCAAAAAGATGACTGGGAAGTTTTTTGTTTTTAAGTGTTTGAGTTGTTTTTAGAAGGAGTAGAAACCCAAATAGAAGAACAAACACCTGCAAAATGTGAATTTTACACAATTCATCCCACAATAGCGCCTCCACTTGGTGAGGAAACTCCAAAGCTTTTATATCACTGAGGACATTTTAACTGTGGCCTACAAATCACTTACTGAATCAATCCACCTTCAACATTTCCTGGTGGCTCAGCCACTTTACTACCAAACATAAAACAAAACTCATTGCATAATTAATGAGGCCATTAAAACAACCCAACTCTTGGCTGCTCAACTGAAGAACCCCTCCCACCTCGTTTACTATTTCTGTTGACCTTCTTTTATGTGTTAAATAGTTTTAAATGTGAAGGTTGTCTCTGTCAAAGAGCTGCTTTGAGCCATAAGAACCAGCAGAAAATCTTCTGAAGAACTCATTTTTTATTCTCATTCTTAATGAGAAGCGTTTCATTTTTGGCTTTGAAGGAGCCACAGGATTATCTAACCTATCACTTATTAATAAAGATTAATAAGAGCAACTTACTGCTGATCCATTTGGCGTTTGGGTCATGAACCTTGAATTCTTTTCGAAAGAGGTCTCCAACCGTAACCTTGCCTTTCAGAGCCAGACGGTCGTCTTCACCTGCAAAGGAAATGACTATTTTAGTGCAGGTAGGCGTTAGCATGCAGAAAAGTAGCAGGATGGGATGAGGTACAATTCTGATTAGCTCGGATTTTATCCACAAAAAGTCAGATTCTTTGGTAACCAAGAGAATCTATTAGGCATGTCTTACAGGTTAAAATAAAAATATTCTTTTGTATCCATCTTTAGAGGTTTAAAGCACTCTTAAATGAAACATTCACACGTGTGAATCCATGTCAGGTCAGAGTAAAAAGCAAGACACTCTTGCTTTTTACTCTGAAGTGAATGTATTTTTATCTTAATACTTGCAACAATAAAACATCTTCAGTAAAAAACATTTTGAGGAGCTGACTTGAATAAAAACATGGATATGTTTTTATTTGTGGTGGCAAAAGAAATGTTGAGAAAAAAAACAAATATTTGTGTTCCTGCGTCTTTAATTATTTGATACGCCTTCCAGATTTAAAGTTTATTACTGACAGAATAAGAACAAAGACAGATGGATCCCAAAAACAACATTTTATTGCTTCACACCTAAGAATTTAAAAATACTTTTAGTACATGAAAATGAGACTCATAAATATTATAAATCTGTGTTTTTGCTCAGTTAGAATCTTAGATTGAATCATAAAATTGGGTGCAGAGAGCAGTGAATATAAATAACTAAAAGCTACTTTTTCTTACCTTTTAATGATTCAAATTTAAAGCCAAACCTAATTTAATGTCCTTGTTTCACTTTTAGCGCTACAATATAATTAAATATCTTCCATTTGTCACATAAATACAACAAAAAGGGCAAAATAAAGTCGCTGTTCTGATAATTAAACCGTTAAGTTAAATTTAAGGGCTGGTTTTGTGGTTTGAAAAGCTTTTTGAAGCAGGCGGTGAAACAGAAAAAGACCACAGAGATGGGAAGCAAATTTCTCTTTAACTCTCAACAACAAAAAGCAGAGAATCTATAACGTCCTTTTGTCAGATTTTTTACCTTAAACTGCATCTTAACAACTTTCTCCCCACAGGCTGTTCACCTTTCAAAGAAGAATACCTTATATGAGAAATAAAAGAAGAAGAAGCCACACACGAGCATAATAACAAAGGCTTCATCGTATAACTCCCTCAGGCTTTTGATAAAACTGGGATGGGTTCTATTTGTCAGCACAGACGCACATATTTACCGAAAGTGCCTCCTGCAATTTATTTCAGCTTAATTTCATCCATCAATGCTCATCATATCATCTTCGGCTCCATAAAATCACTCAGAGCGAAGGGAGAAGGCAGAGAAAGAAGCTGTAGTTTTCAGAACGAGTTCAACCTGTAATATTTTATTAAAAACTTCAACTTTTAGTCAAAAATTATAGATTTTTTTTATCTTCTTATTTTCTCTGACATCCACCTCTCAATGGCATCAAACTGTCTTTGGCTTTCATTAAAATCTCATCCATTCAAAGCTTCTTGCAATGATATCATGTAAATCAAGGACTAATTTGTTGGAAATTAAAATCTTTTATTATGGGCTCATCTGGTTAAGAACCAATTATTTCAACTTCCTTTGTTTGCTACAAGAAAATAGTTTCTACATGCAAATGTCCCAGATATAAATTGACTGTTAAACGACAAAACATTCATATTCTTGCATTTATTGAATCGGTTAATGTAAGTAGTTTATAGTTGCTGTCTCTAATCTCCAGATACGATACATGTTTGCTGAAAGGTGATTAAAAAGTAACATTTCAGCAACTGGAAGATGTGGGCTTGATGGAAAAGCAACAACATTTAATTCCTTACACAAAAAACGACGGGTCTAATGTTGCATTCACAAAACGCAATTTGAGCGTCAGGTTTACATTCAAAGTCTGTGTGGAGGAGCGTCGATGACACGTTTCATCGTCCGACGCTGAAGTTGAAAAATCTGAACCTTCGCTGCTCAACGCGGAGCATCAACCAGCACCTACTGGTGCATTTTCTCAGAAAAAAAAATAAAACTATGGTGGGTAAACTGAATGTTGCCGTTTGCTCTCGTCCTCTAATCTACGACCAATCAAGTTATGACAGGAAGAGAAAGGACCTGACATGGATGAGGATCCGCGAGGAAGTTGGAATGTTGGGTAAGTTTGAAAATATTTCCCCACATTTGAGCTATTCGAATCCGTCCAGCAAAAATGTTGAGTCACATTAAATAAATGATGTATTTATTTAGACAAATATGCAGGAGACGGTGGAAGAGTTTGAAGGACATGCATGCCAAGGAGTTTCCTCTCAACGCTGTCGAGAGCAAAAAATGTCAAGTGTCTGACTTCAAAGTGCACACGCGTCGAACCCGAAGCGTCGGACCCGAAGCGTCGAACCCGAAGCGTCGGACCCGAAGCGTCGGACACGAAGCGTCGGACCCCGAAGCGTCGGAACCGAAGCGTCGGACCCCGAAGCGTCGGACCCGAAGCGTCGGACCCCGAAGCGTCGGACCCCGAAGCGTCGGACCCGAAGCGTCTGATGCGTTCGGTGTGAACGCCCCACTAGTCCCATGCAGATGCTAGCCAAGTAGCTCTGAGGCTACTTATTTTAGCTGCATTTTCTTTTTAAAATTTTAGAAATGTTCTCTGAAAAAAATACACAAATAGACAAACTTTCCATCAATAATTTGGAGTTAGGTTCCACAGAAAATAATAAGCAGGGACTTTACGTACTTTCTGGGTTAATAAACAGGGTGAGAAGAGAAAAACTATATAATCCAGTCTGTCATAAGAATTGTGTTTAGACCATAATAGATATTTTTAAAGTTGTCTTATCTATTGTAGATTCTGCATCATATGATTACATATTTCAAATTCTAACCTCACGAAGTGATAAAATCCTTTTAGCCTCCTTTAGCAGCTAATTGCTGCTGGCTAGTCTGAAGGAGCTGCTGTGTAAGGCGGAGCTAGGTCCACCCAGGCGTTTTGTACAGCTGATTGGTTCCCATGGAGACTAAAGGCTTCTCAAACCCGCATGAAATAATCAAGGCAACACTCCAGGCGGGTTTTTGATGAGGGAATAACATTATAATATGACGTAAAGCTCAAAAGAGTCAATTTAGCAAAACATTGCCTCATTTTCCCAGTTTTGTAGGGCTTTCTATACAGCTAACCACCCTGCTACTGTTTCCCCTTTTTGTGAGTTTATCTAAAAAGGTGTTTTATTTTCACTCTGTCTGCATGTCGCTGTTTCACTGAGCCGCACGCCGTCAGTCAGAAAACCAAAGTGGCAGCAAACGTATGACCTAGATGTGCCGAGAAGAGAGTAACCTCTTAGGTATAGAAGTTGCACATTGTCAGAGAAGGAGGAGGTGGTGGTGCTCAAAAGTCGAAATGTGTGTGTGCACACGTGTGTGTGTGTGAAGGAGAACAAAGTGGCTGTCAGGTGCACTTAGAAACCGGTTGCCAACCTGCACGAGGAGCATCCATCAAGCTAAGCCCTTAACTGAGTGGAAACAACTCCTCAGACAAAAAGCAACGCCACAATTTGCTGCTCAACGTTTCCTCCCTTTGTTTCTAAAATGGTTCTTCAAGTATAATTGGAGCTAAACAGGATGTACTGAATAAACAGTGGTTCAGCATTTTTATCGTAAAATCATCCCCAAAGCATTTTAACTGTGAGGTAATACTTCACTTGGGTCCACTTGCACAACAAATTCAATTTCTTTTCTGCAATTTTAAAGCTCTGAAGCATGTTTGTATTAAAGGGAAAAGAAAATCACCTAATCTAAAAGCCCACTTTCCTTATGCCCACAAAAACAATCTGCTTTTATTGTTTACAATTGGTTCAAAACAAAATGTCTTCTGTTTTAGTTTTAAATAGCCCAATCAACAATCCCACCAACTAAAATGAGAAAAATTCACATTTTAGAATAAAAACCTACAACAGCTTCATGCAGAAAACTGGATTCTTCATATTTCAACAGGGGGGCCTGTCGTTCTTTAGCTATATTCTGTAAATAAAGCGTTCGTTCTCACTGGAACCACATTTTTTTCTGCTTGTGGTGAATAAGCAAATATGAGAATAAAGGAGTTGAATTACCACCACACAGGGAGACACTCGTTTTAAGTGGCGGAGATAATTTCCTCACAGAGAGGAGCCAGAAAATATTCCTTTGTCACACAGAAAGGAATATTTCTGCCGCTGCATGTTTGGAGATCAGCATTGGCTCCGGGGAGAAGCATCCTTTCAAAAGTAATTTGAATACTTGAGAACAAAACAACTGCATTTTGTTTTTCCTTATCCTAAAAGTTACTGTTGGCAGAAAAGAAACTTCATCTTTAAAAGAAAAGGAGGAGCTGATGAAGCAGAGCGAACAGCTGGCATCCACAGAACCAGTTCACCCAGTTCACCCAGCAGCGCGTCGTTAGCAGCAATAACTCTCACACGTTGCTTCCTGTTTGACTTCATCAGTCCCTCACATCGCAGGGCAGGAGTTTTTCTCCAGTTTCTTATAAAGCTGCTCCAGCTCATTAACGTTTGCAGACATTCATCTCCGCGTTGCCTTTTTTAAAGCAACATTTCAGTGTTTTGACTGGGTTAAACCCAGACTTTAACTGCACCACTGATCCAGCCTACGGTCATTATGTTACAGCATTGTTCCTGTGTTTGGGTCAAAACTGTACAGAAAACATATCAATTTTGCATTTAAGATTAAAAAATAAACTCCTGACTGAATATATTTTATAAAGAACTCCTTAAGTAGTTGAGTTTTCGCTTCATTTCTCCTACGATGCAACTTTTCTGTTCAATTATTCATTGTTTAATTGAAAAACAGTCAACAGGTCAGAAAAAATGTCTGAGGTTTTCACATGTTGATGTTGGAAGCATCTTTATTTGGCTTCAGATTCAGATTGTTTGCCACAAATGATCAAACGTTCAAAGGAATGATTTGTTTTTGCATTTTAGGCATTAAATGTTTATTTTCATATCTAAAAAAGAACATGTGTTCACCTGCTTTGTCTGCATTTCGAATATTTACAAAATAGACTTCAATGATTAAATGAGAAATCTGCAAAATGTGCCAATATTTTTTATCTGATTACTCAATCAGTTGTCAGAATAATCGATTAAATACAACATTATTACTAAAATATTGCAGCTCTACTGGGCAGCAATAGTTGGATATTGTTTTTAAATATTTTCCATCTTTATCCAGAAAAATATTAGAGAAAATTGTATACTTTTCCAGAAACTGTTAAGAAAACAGAATTTTAAAATCTCTTTAAAAACATTGACGCCCTCACCAATTTGTGTATTTGGTCAACTTCTGATAAATAAAAATATTTTCAAGAAAAAGCATCCATCCTTTTAACATCTACTAGAATTCATTTAGCTCACATTATCTGCATCCAGCGGCATTAATTAACTTCCAACGGTTAGTTTGGAAACCGTGTAACGTCGTTTGCCGTCATGAAACACACCTGCACACACACACCTCCAACAGGCGTTCATGTTGCGTTTAAAGGCGGCTCGGAAAATCACAATACGAGATGTTAACAACGGATTAACAACTGAAAAAAGAGACGCAAAGCACAGATACGGGAAGTGTGGGAGTTTCTACTGTATCAAATAGAGATAGGCATAATGGAAAGATGGCCACTCCGAGGTAAAAATAAATAAAAAAATAGCTAACTGCACTGCTCGCCTGTTGGGACGCAACATGTGTGAATGTGCAGGGAAATAACAGGAAGCTGGAACTACTCCACCAAGTAAAGATGCACAAAAAGGTTTTATTAAGTTAGATTTTTTTTGCAGCTGTTAGTTAATCTTTGTTAGCATAAAAGCTTTCATCGCTCATTGACCAATAATCTGAACGGTTAGTCGACCAACATTAATTTCTGAATTTTGCACAAGTTTACCAAGTCAAGTTTCAAGATCTTAAAAATTAAAGGATTCTGTAATAACATAAGCAATTAATCGTGTGATAAATTGAAATCAGCTCGGTACACTGAAGAAAGAAAACCGTTGATCCAACTTTAAAAATGTTGTTAATTTCTCAAATATATTAAGTTTATTAAGTTATGTTAATCAAGTGCAAATAAACAAACTTAATTACAAATTAACTTGATTTCATATTCTAATTTTTTCAGTGTAATTTTCAGTCCGATTATTAATATTTTTTAACAAAATAATTGTTTACAGAGCTGTCATAATTGGTTATGATTTTGGTTGCAAGTGTTTTTTTTCTTCCATTTTATTTATTAATCTTGGTGTCTTTTATTTTGGATATTTAAAATATTTTCCAGTTCCAGAGCTAAGTGTTTACAAAATTAAAGTTTGTCTTTGAGAAAACAAACTTTCATCATGTCATTGTCAATATATTATCAAAACAAAAGCTTCAAAATGTATATTTATAAAAATATACATGAGCCTGTTTGTTTATTTGTATCAGAGGGACATTGTGCATTAATGAATATTTTAAACAGCACAAATGTAAAGCACCCAATTACAGCCAACCCTAATTTAAATGTTTATGGCCCTGCCAGATGTTACAGGCTGAATATAATGTAATTTAAAAAAATAAATAAAAGAACAAGACAGACATGAATAGAAAACATCCAGATAGAATACATTATAATAAAAAATAAAAACTGTCAGGTTCCACATAGAAACCATAATTTATAATGATGTGTAATCTGGAGCATTTGGACTCCAGAAACATAAAATTAAAAATAAAGCAAAAACTCACTTTTAATATTTAAGTGTTTAACTTAAATACGTTAAACACTTAGTGGGGAAAAAGGTTTCAGATCCAGTTCATCTGAATATAAATGTGTTTAAGGGTGAAAGGTCGCGACGACCGGAAAAGTTCTGTGGAAGTTCAGTCCATTTCCCGTTTAGTTCTCCAGAACGATTGAACTTCACTGCCGGAAACGCCGCTGTGACCTTGTGGACGAACAAGGTCACTTTATGCTTACTGTCATTGTAAATTAATTCTAGTGAGCGCACGATGAAGGCCACATTAACCTGATTTGACTCCTGCAGTGCATAAAACCGTATCCAGGAGCTTTATGGGCCTGAATGCAGACAGATGGTCGTCTGATTAAACTTTTATAAAAAAGGAAAAACACTCAAGGTCAGCCACAAATGAAACTCAGAGGGTTTAACACAACTAAACAAAGACATATCCGTCCAAATTACGCAACTCAGTCAAAAGAGGCACATGGGCTTGTTTGGGAAGGAAGTGATGCTGCACCAGCTGAGCTTAATGAAGTTCCCTGACCTTGACTACATCTGTTAAAGGGAAAGCGTTCACGTGGAAACCGGGAGGGAGGACGAGTGTAAACACCTCAGTGGACCGAGTCAGCAAGACGCCGGCACTTTGTTCGCTGCATTGTTTGTGAGGAGATTGATTGTGAACTCTAATGGGCATGTCTGTGCATAACAATTGCTGTGTAAACAGAGCGATGTGGAGCGCACGCTGTGGCGGGGCTCCACCCCCGCCCGTTGCTGTACCTGGTGTCAACAGGATGACGGAGGTGACGATCAGCGAGCAGATGACCAGAATGACAAGGAGGGCGATCGCAATTCCCTTCCAGTTCCTCTGCGGAGGGTTGCTGCCCACCAGCTCCTGCAGGAGACGGAAGAGGAGAAGAAAGCTCATCAGTGAACGATGACATGAAGCTAATTAGGGCAGAAACAGAAAACGAACAAGAGAAACTAAAAGAGCAACATCAAAACAGCGGATGATACATAAACGCTCCTGGGAAGACGAGATTGGGGTGTGAGTCAAGGACGAACATGAGTCAGAGTCGCAGCTTCTCAAGGAGACGCGGCGGCGGCAGCAGCGGCGGCGGGAGGAGGCGGCGGGGAGGGAATCCTTAATGAGCCGCGCATCAGCAGCCATCACACGCAAACGAATGTGACAGATAAAAATGGAGCTCACGACACGTCGGTGAATTGCAACGCTTGGTGACGGTGCAGAGAGGAAGCTTTGGGGGCTTGCAAAACGGCTCTGAGTAATGAGCAACCTTGAGGCATATTTTATCTGCCTGACCTATGAATCCAAAGAGCAACGAGCTGATTGGGGTTTGGCGTCGTTCTCTGCGAGGAATGGCTCTTTAAAAGCTGAAACTAAACAGAGCAACTCTCCCAGAACAACGGGGAGCAACTTAAGGAGGTGTATTTACACCCAAAGCAAGACAGAATTAAATGGATTTGACACATGGTGATCTGTAGCAGGTGATTCTGGGAAATTACCAAGCAAGCAGTAAATTTGCTCAATTTATTATAGAAAATTTTCCAAACAGTGCAGTCAGCAGCTACAGATTATTATGAGCGTGCTCCAAGTTTCCATTCGGAAGCTGTTACGGCCTCTGCTTCGTCTTCGTAAAGCCTGGTGTCAAACCTCGTCTGAAGTTAAGCACAAGCCATCGGTCGGTACGCCGATGACAAATGAATTAATCTGACCCGTTTTCTGCTACTGGTGCTTTTTAAAAATGTCTTGTACAAGCAAATTCAAGATTATATCCAAACTTTATGGATACAACATTTGCAGAAAAAATGATAGTGAAAACTATAAGAGCATTCATGACTCTTCACATTTTTGTTGCCGTTATTTGTTCTCTTATACGGTTATTTTGCACTAATTTGTTGGTCTGTAATGTTTGTTCTGTGTGCACTACTTGGTGAATTAAAAAAAAAAGTATATTATGGTTGTGACCTCTAAGGAAATTATTCATCCCCCTTTACCATGAAAGCCCTAAATAAAATCCAGTGAACAGGTTAAGGGCCACAATTATCTCAGACTCCCTATCAAAATAATAACTGCCTCTTTAATTGGATAAACTAACTACTAACCCCTGATTCCTGTGTTTTAGTTTAGATTTTGTGTTTTTGTGTTGCAAAAAATAAAAAAATTTTACCAAATATTTTTGGTCAAGTTTCTAGTGGAAATATCTTAGTGCACTTGGAATAAAAAAACTAAATCACAAGTAACTTTTCAGCAAGATATATAAAGCTTGTTTTAAGTCAATAATTTCATAATATTGAGAACTAGTTCCACTGGAAAATTATTTCACTTATAAGTAGAACATTTTCATCAACTTTAAGGAATTATTAACTTAAAACAAGCTCCTACGTCTTGCTGAAAAGTTACTCGCAAGTTGGTTTTGTCTCATCTCAAGATAAGACAAAATTAACTAGAAACTAGACCAAATTATATAAGGTTTAAAATATTTTTAGCAGTGGATATCAAAGTAAAGGAGGCTAAAATCTAGATGAATTACAACAACGTTTGTTGACAAAAGGCAGAAAGATGAAAAATGATGCAAGATGTTGATGAAAAAACAAGAATGTCTCCCCAACATCCCCAAACAACAAAGCGCCAAATCATTAATAGCAGGGAATCTGCCAAAAGCCTCATCAAGTATAAACTGTTAGAGCAGGATTAATACGTTTTTTAATCTATTTGTAAAGGAGAAAATGTCGAAGCAGAGCACACACTTCAGGGACCTATGACTGCGGTGTTAATGAATACACACCGAGGCTTTAATGAAGCTGAATGGCTGAGCTCAGAAACAAACCTTTTAGTGACCTCTTTCCCAACATAATTGAAAAGAGCCCAGGAAATCATTAGTCTGCAGATAAGGGCAATCAGGCCCAGACTGTCCATTACCCACATTCATTAAAACCAAGAACCAGTTCGTTAGTGGTACGCGTATTTGATGACCAGGAAGGACACATCAAGCAGACACTAGAAGGAGAAGGTTATTGGGACTTGGATTGTGATGCCATACATCTGTGAGGTCTGCTGGGTTTACAGTGTCGAGTCTGATTTCCTTTCATAGGCTAATAACTAGAGCTGTGTGTCTTGGCTGACCTTTACATTCTTTATGTGTTGAGCTATGAAACAATGAAAAACAATTATTCTTCCTGCTGCTAGACTGTTACAACATGTTTATTATTATTTTACACGGTAAACCTCTGGTACTCATGGAGGTCAAGGACCACAGCCGCTAAAAACCACCAATACTAGTAGTCTAGAAAATTACCTTATAATAATAATAGCTCACTTTCTAAGTTAACCTGAAGAAAAGTTGCACAAATATCTGAAATTATATTCAATAATAAAGAGGCAGACTCACAAATACGCTTATAAAAATGTCTATACTCCAGTTTTTAGTTTGTTTTCATCTTCAGTCAATTTAATAAATTAACTCTCACCTTGCCCAGACTTTTATAGCTTTGTGTTCATGTTAGCGACGGAATTTGATTCCTTCAGTTGTTACACAAACAAACTCATCTACCAGTTATGTGCTGCCACGAAGTGCTCCACCACCCGTTTGTTGAGACCGAGGTGATATGACATGTATTTTACGGTTCGTCCATAAACCTACACTTGCAGAAAACATCAACTACAGAACCGCTCCCCGCCGTGTTCAGTTTATCCGCTCACCTGTATAGGTACACCCGCCGCGCTCTTCACCGCCACCAGGCAGCAGCTCCAGGAGGAGAAAAGCCGCCGTACTCCAGTCATCGCACCAGTTATTTTAAGGATGCTTATTGGTCCCCCGAAAAACTATAAAAGCCCAGACATTATCATGAATCAGTAAAATCCTCCCAGACTGGACTTGAAAATTGGACGTTATGCTGCTAGCACTTAGCTTTTGTCAACAACTCGTAGGCGGAAGTGAGAACATTGCGGAATATAAATAATCACCCTGCCGGAATACGGTGCGCTAATTAATAAAACATAATTTAAATAAATTTTAATAATCGAGGTACTCAAATAATTTGAGGAGTCGTTACCGCCCTACTTCAAACCCATAAAATTGCTTATTTTAAAAGTTCAAATACCAAAAATACCTTAATATTAGGAAAGTGCAATATTGCATAAAATTCTTATCCCGATATATATTGTGATGGTGGCGGTAACGATACATAGCGATACGATTTGTATAAAACTTAGAATAGAAACTGGAAAAAAAAGAGTCACATAATTGAATGGAATGAATATATTTATATGCATTTAGTGTTTGGGTTGTGTGTAGCTTTTATTTGCATTTATTGTTTTTGGTTGCGGTGTTTTATTTCAGCTATTTAAAATTTGGCTTTTATGTATAAATGTAAAGCAGTAGTTGGATAACAGGATCCTTGCTTTGGGTTACTGTGTAGAGAATAAAGGTTATAGTTGACCTGTAAAGTGATGGAAACAGATCTCTATTCTCCCCTCTTCAGCATGCTGCAGCTCCAGACTCACCCCTGGCTCAGTGTCATGTTTCACACTCTGTGGCTTGAATAAACAGCAGTAATGTCTGCGCTCACTCTGCACATTCGCACATGACAGTGGGTGAGAACTGAAACAGACTGGCATCTTGTTTTTATTCAGGTTTGGGGCTGTATCCCTCAGACTTCTGCACCTTCTCTGTCATGTTTTGGTCACGCTTCAACCCTTCCTGTCAGCGAATCTTCCTTCAGCCTCCTAACATTTTATTTATTCAATGTTCCAGCAAGGTCTGATGTGCCACTTGTTCCTTTTTTCTTCTTCTCCATCTCATCGGTCTTTCTTTTTTTTAATTCTTGTTCCTGCCGGTCGCTTGTAATCACCTCTACATTACTTAAGCACATCAGGCCTGGCTAATTAGTCCATTTGTTATTATAATTATAGATCATAGAGGCGGGATTGGGAAGGTTAGGCAAGGTTTTCAGCCTGTCCGTTTCCCTGAGTTCAGTGATTAGCCCTCAGGATCAACACAGAAAGCTAATTTTGCTCCTTTTTCAGCAGTCCAGTTGTTAGCATAATTTAAAACATCATACTGCGTTGGTACAATTTCTCTTTTTGAAAAACAGTTTAGCTCATTAGCTACAAATAAGAGCTATTTTAGCTGTTTTGCAGCTTCAGTCGCTTGTTTACTCTTAATTGGCTGTCGGCTGAACTTTGTTTCTAATTAGTCAAGCTGCAAACGTAGGCTGTCTGCCTCCGACTATGGAAATGGAAAGGGCACCGTTGTTTTTATGAGAACAGGATGATGTGCAGAGAAGTCCTTTATCTCGATGTGAGTTGTTGAAGTTTGATGTACTGCATGTGTCAGTGGATCACCGGATTCCTGAGTGACCGACAGCAGCATCAGCTCTGGCATCCCACAGGGGTGTGTTCTCACCTCACTGCTTTTCTGAATGTACAACTCTGTCTGCACCTCAGTGAACCGTCGATGAAACTGTTGGTCAGCGACACTGATGAGTCTGCATTCAGACAGGATTAGACGATCCTCACTAGATATCGATTAATAAATATCTAATTTATCTGGACGATAAATTATCCCTGAAACTATTGTGATAAACAATAATAATGTTTTGAGACCATTTTCAAGTGATATGGTTTTCCCTCTCAAAGACCAATAACTTAACACTGGAACTGCAAGATAATTTAGAAAACAATAAATAAAACAGGAATAAAAGACACACATACAACCAAAACCATAAACAAAATGATTATAAAAATATTGATCACCAGAATGGAATTTATTAAGCTCATTTTCACTTATTACGCAATCGATTGGTTAATTGAAATGCAATTTATAAATTTATAATTTTTATATTTCATGAAAATATTCTTTTAAGTATATATAA